CACACACACACACACACACACACACACACACACACACACACACACACTGCAGCACTTACCAGGAGAGGCCACGACAGTAGGGATGAAGCAAGTGTCAGCTCACTGGGGTGGAGATCTGATGAGATGAAGCACATCCCACCATGCAGGGGTGAAGAGACACACACGCACTGCACCAATACCCTCAGAGTCGGCACACTCAGCACACAGACCCCCACTCAAGGTCACCAGCAGCGCCTGCTCATACACCTTCCTGGGCCTTCAAATGCGGACTTTAATACAGACAGCCAAACAGACCCTGCAACTAGATGCACAGGGCTACAGTGCGTGTGTGCTCAGCCCCTCCCACGGCCTCTGAGGACACTCGCACACACAGGCACGTGGCCAAGCCCCTTCCTCCACCTCCTCTGAAATTCCGAGACAGACGCAGACACCGGGGATCCAGGAACAATGCAGGGCGGCCAGCCTGGCTCCACGCACCTGCACACGTAGAGCAGGCCCAGGTTACCCGTGCACTCACACTCAGGGCACATGGGGCCCGAGCTGGCCTTCTCCATGGCTCCTCCCCAGGGGAAGAAGCTCCCTGACGCTGAATGTCCCAGGATGGAGACCCATGTTCTCCATTCCTGAGTCTGCCTTTCCTGAAGGAGACATGCTGGGTTATCTGCCCCTTCTCTTCCATAGGATTGGGGCTTGAAGCCCCCAGCTACCTGGTGCCCACGACCATGGCCCTCCCCCCTCGCCCTTAAGGCCCCTCTGTGTCAGGGCAGGGAGAGAATGGGGGTTCCAGATGTGGCACCTGGCCCCCACTCCCACCGTTCTCAATCTAGGGGTTGGAGGTGTCTGTCCGGGACGCTTCTTCACCTAATCCCAGGAAAGGCTCAACATCTGGGACACCTCTGGGTCCACCTTTGGGGGTGCCCCACTGCAGCCCCCAAAGTCCCCACTGCACTTCTGGGCTGGGGCAGCAGGACTGGGGCTGGGGGAATGGGGAGAAACGGGGTGGTGGTCTAGCCTTGCAGCCGGCCCCTCAGCCCCTCTCGGGGAGCTGCGGGCTGCGGGCTGCGGGCGGGGTAGACCCCTCAGCCCGGCTTCCCCTCTCGGGCCTTCGGGTGATGAATGTCCCTCCTGATGGTCTCGTTACTTATTGATGGCCTAATCCTGCTCGTTAATTCCCCAGCCCTCGTTAAAAATGAAAAGAAGCCGTTTGTGCTTGTACAAACCCCAAGAACCAGGATGGATGTGCGGGCGCTGGGGGTGGGGCGGGGCGGGCGGCGCCTCCTCATTGGCCAGGAGACCCAGCTCGGCCACGCCCAGCCCGGGGTTGGGGTGGGGCGCCAGGCACCGGGGTGGGAGGGGGCCGCGGCGATTCTCAGGCTGCGCTTACGGTTCTTCCTGCGGGAGGTGGGGCGTGTGCATGCCCGTGAGACTCACGTGTCCTCAAATGTGTCCCTAGGTGTGTGGTTCTGGGTGTACACACGACATACGGGGCCAACACCCAGGCAAACGCAGTGCGTGCGTGCGTGCGTGCGTGTGAATTCCTACGGAAATGGGCCTGACTACGTGAGCAGGTGGGTCATCTGCGGGCGCCCTTGAGAGGGTTCGGGAGCCAGTAATTGTGGGGGGCGGGGTGCAGGGCCAGGCCCCGCCCCCGGGGCCCTCAGGAGCCTCACCAGTTTGCGCTGACACCAGTGGCAGAGGCCGCAGAGGACGACAGTGATGCTAAGGCTGACGGTGATAATGGCAGAGACCAGCAGGACATCGCGGGTGGGCGCCCCTGGGGAGGACACACACAGGTCAGACCCTCATTGGCCAGGGCCGGCCACCCTCCCTCAGCCCAGAGCCCCCCCCTCCCCCGCCCAGCAATTACCCTACCCTACCATCTGGCCCCCCACATTGGGAGCTCTGAGCCACAAGTTCCTCTCCCAGCTAGGCTTGCTGGCTGACCTTGGGAAGTTCCTTCCTTTCTCTGTGACTCAGTTTCCTCATCTGTAAAATGGGGGCACTGTGCAGGTTGAAGTTCCTCCCACACCCTCCCTGCATGGGCTCTGTGTGAGCCCAGAGGATCCGCACCATTGCCCAAACTTGACACCTCAAAGGGAGAGGCCAAGTGTACCCTCTGCCCAGCCAGGCCTCAGTGGACACTTCTACCTCCCCTAAAAAAGCCACTTCCTCAGCACACCCTTCCTGCCCAGCACCCTTCCATCTCCTCCAATACTCTGAGCCACAACTCCAGCCCCATTTGCCCAAAGGGCACCATGTCCGAGGACATTTGCCCCATGGGCACTAACAGACCCTCAGAAGTGTCTGGCCCAAACTCAGCGGCGACATGTGTAATCCAAAAGGGAATTTCTGTAACCCCCTGACCAGCCCTCACCCCCTTCAGCTCAGCTTTCCTCGGGCTGGAAGCCCACCCAAGTGGCCTCTGTACATCCTGCCCTCCTAACCCTTAGCCCCCTGAGCTTGCCCCGTCACCTGCCCTGGGACAAAAGCCCCAGGTTTCTGTGCAGATCCTACCACTTGCTCGCTGTGGCTTTGGACGAGTCACAGAACCACTCAGTTTTCTCCCGTGTAAATGCGGATTAAACCTCCTCCCTGCCTTCTCACAGGTGGTTGCAAACATGAGCCCAAACCAAATGCAAGGCAGGCAAAATTTCACCAGAAATTCTCGTGTGGGGGAGTGAGTCGAAAGAAAGCAGCATAGATCGCACGTGCACTGTGAATATGTATGCACTAGGATGCGTCCTAAAGGCAAGTAGACGCTGTTTATTTACAGAGGAGACTGCATGGGCTTTTCGGTGCCAGTGAGGGCGGTAATTAAGAGTTGACGGTATCTGTCTGGTCTTGGTTCCTGTGGTTTTAGCTTCTGGGCCCCCAGTATCTCTTGTTTGGTTGTGGGGCCTCGTGGAGAAGGGCCCAGCGGTTAGCCCAGCTCTCGGAGCCCTTGGGGCTCCCTCCTACCGCCCTTCTAGTGTTCTGGGCAGCCGGTTCACCACCTGCTCTCCCTAGAGTCCTGCTTGGGCCCAACCTCTCCCTTCCCAACTTCCTGAGCCTCCCAGCTGTGGGAAAAGGCCACCTTTGCCTGGTCCCCACCAGTCTACCTGCCAGGCCAACTGAGCTTCCTCCTGTCCTGAGTCTGTAGCCTCCCCCTACCCCTGCCCCCGCCCAGCCTTGCACCCAGTTCACTGTCAGCCTCAGGGCCCACAGCACCCAGGAGCTCTGACCTGGACAACTAGCAGACACCAAGGACCTGGTCCTGCCCTTCCCTTCCTGGGGTGGAGGAACACAGCTCTGCAAGATTGGAAAGGCCACATCTGCCGAATGGGAGGCTTCCATCTTTAACCTCCAGGCTTCTGAGGGAAGGGGGCAAGACGAGTGGGGACAGTGAAGGCCATAACACCACAGGTCACGCCCCCAGCGCCCCAAGACTCAAGCCTGTGGCAAAGAGAGGAGCAAATGTACCTCCCAGGAAGGGGACCTGCACTTTTTCCAGCTCTCTCCACAGGAACTGCCCCTGCCCCACTGGAAGAGTCTGGGAGGGGGGTGCTATGTGGGCTGAAAAAGCAAGTGACCTCACACCTTCCTCTGTTAAACTCACTTTTAAATAAAATAAATTCCATTTTTGGTCTGAGCTTTCTTCAACCACTATCTGTTAAGAATCTCGCATGAGGCACGCGGGCCAGGCAAGAGGCAAGATTTCAGCTGATTATTTCTTAGCATGTCAGATGCCCCAGAGCCAGTGAGTGGCAGAACACCCAGCCCAGGGCTCCAGACTCCAAAATATCCGAGAAAAGACCAAAGTGTGAGTGCAGTTTCTGCCTCTTCATAGCTGAGTGACCTTGGACAAGTGTCTCAACCACTCAGTGTCTACCAGTAGAGACAAGAGTAGCACCCCCCGCCATGGGGTTACTGCTAGCACTCGGTAGTTACATATTATGATTAAAGTTAGTGGTGTTAGTTTTCTCTCGACCGTACCCAGAGGGCTCTGGGAGCACAAATGAAGAAGTGACTACTGGACTAGAGGGCTATCTGGGAAGGCTTCCCTGAGGAGGTGGTACTTGGTGTGGTCTGGGGATGGCTATGAGGTGAGGGCACAGGGAAAAGCAAGAGCAAAGGCAAGAAGTGGGGGGGGGGCAGGCATGCTGTTTGAGGAGCTGGTCTAGGTTAGTGGGTGTGAAGTGGAAGGGGACAGGCTGGGAACGGAGTGGGGCCTGATGGGAAAGGGGCTTGTCTATCAGGCTGAGGGCCCTGCTGCGTTCTGCAGGACATGGGAGCCATGGAAGGTTTTTGAGTGGGGGAGGGGCAGGACCAGAGGGGGCAGGCTCTTGGTCTGGTAGCTGTGGTGCTGTGGTAGGAGGCCATGCTCCAGCTGGGTTCTTCTGCCCCGCCCCCACACCCTCTCCTCCCACCTCCCCCTCCACATACATCTTGGCCATGGGGCGATTCTGCAAGGGGTCTACCTCCTCTCTTTGCCAAAAAAAGTCTTTCTCAAAACTGCTCCTCAACCCCTGCTGTAGGTAGAGGGCCCCTGAGGACGGAGGCTGTCAATCCCAGAAGCCAGTGGGCATGCTAAGAAGAGCCCCCAGTAGATCCAGGGAGTGCCCATTTGAAACAAGTAGCATGCTGAGGGCAGGCAGAATGAGCACTGGGCTTGGAGTCTAGGAAAACTGGTGGAGGCCCTGTTCTGGCCACTAACCAGCTATGTGGCCATGAGCAAGGCGCTCAGCCTCTTGGATGTCAGTGCCTTCATCTGTGGAAGAGCTGACCCTTCCTCTGATGATAAGCCAGGTGTTCCAGATGCTTCTTACGAGCTAACAACTCAGTCCTCACAACAGCAACTGAAGTAAGCATTACGATTGTCCCCATTTTGCAGACGGGGAAACGGAGATGCAAAGGTGGTCAAGAACCTTGTCCAAGGTCATTCCGGTAGTAGGTAGTGGAGAAAGGGTTCAAACCTAGGCAGTCTGGCTCAAAGTCGGCTCTCTTTGCTTTGTGTGCTCTCTGGAACTGTTAGGGATCCTAGGGATTTCTCAGGGGCCACAGAGGTGGATGCCGAGTAGATGAGGCTGCCGTCCCTCAAGCCCTCTTCCAAAAAGCAAGAGCATTTCCCTGTTTCACATCTTGGGCTTTCGTAGAAAGTTCCGTTTGAAGAAAGAGCTGTGTTGCTAAGGCAAGTTGCACCCCCTAGATTGGGACCCCCAGGATCTGCTGCTGTCAGCTCACAGGCATGGAGTCCAACCCCTCCCCGCCAGGCCCCCGGCTGTCCACCCACAGCCCTTGAAGCCGGGGTAAAACAAAGGCTTGTCACTGCAAATTGCACTGATGTGATGGCTGAAAGTGACACGGTGTCCTCAGCCAGCAAGGGGGTGCAGGCGTGTGTCCTTGCCTGTCAGCCAGAGTGACCCCATTCCCAAGAGCATGGATCACTATGTTTGGGGCCGGAAGGGACCTCTGCCGTCATGGAGTCTGGCCCCAGCGATGCACGAACCCTCTGGTCAGCCCTGTCTGTGACAAGTCGCAGGAGGCAGGCCCTCCACCAACAGGCATGGTTAGGGAGGGTCGCTGTGCCCCGTGCTGAGGGGAGTCTGTCTCCCTAGAACTCCTCCCCCCCATCCCATCCCCCCTCGCTCCCAAGCTGGCCCTCCGGAGCTGCTGGGAACACGCTGGCTTCCTCGGCCGCATGACAGGCCTCTAAATCCTTGCCGACAGCTCTCATGTCCCCTTCCAGTCTTCTCCAGGCATGGACGCCCTGGCCCTTCTAACGCTTCCTCCAATGACATACATGGTTTCAAGTCCCCTTAGCGTCAGCATATTAACACTGGGGGAAAGAAAATATCATAGCCCTCATCAGCTTTTGACAGGGCCGGGTTCCACAACCTATCCTTGGGCAGAGGAGACATCCCGGATCCCGGGAGTGAGACACAGACAAGGGCAGACAGATGACACCAGGGGCCCCGGGTGGCAGGGGGAGGCAGGAGCGGGGAGAGCCAGGCCTCGTGGGTCCGATCCCAGGGGTGTCCTGGGAGTGAGGCGCAAGCTCGGGCACATGGCTGTCCCTTTGCCCAGGCCTGTGGCAGGGAAGGTCAGCTGACCCGAGCTCCAGATGAACGCTCATCTGGTGGGGGTCCTGTGCTCCTGACCTCACCACCAGTCAAGTAGCTCTCGGGGTAAAGCCTGTGTGTTCGAGGAGGCAGCCACCTCTAAGGGTGGACGACATGCTCAAGCTCATGCCGTCTTCCCCTCTCGAATGTCCACTCCGTAAGGGCAGGGCTTGCTCTCTGTTCACCACTGTCTTCCCAGGACCAAGGAGGGAGCGGGGCATACAGCAGGTGCTTGACAAAAGCTTGCTGAAAGAATGAGTGAGGAGGAACCTCAGCCCTCTAAGAATAATGATAATAATAGAGGCTACCATTTATAAGCACCTACTGTGTACCAGACTCCAGGGTCCATGAAGGCAAGGGCTGGATCTGCTTTGCTCATTCTGGATATTCTGCGATAGGCTGACATATGGGAGGTGCTCAGTAAATGTTAAATGTTCAGTACTTGCCTGTTATCCCACTTGTCACCCAAACATGATGGGAGAGGCTGCCGGGACAGAGTTTGAGCCTCTCTTTTACACACACACACACACGCCAGGACCCTTTTCAGTCTTCCCCCATGCCATCTTTGCCTGACAATTCCTGATTTTTCTAGACCCCCATAAAAAGCACCTCCTCCAGGAAGCCTTCCATAAGATCCCCCAGTGGGAATGAATTTCTCCTGCTTCGGAGCTCCCAC